GAGAGAGAGAGAGAAACGACGCGAGGGAAAGAGATAAGGGCAAAAAAATATTATTTAAATAATTGCGCGATTTGTTTAATATAAATATAATTTGATATTTAAATAGCCAGATCGTAACTCTCTTCTTACTATATTTCTATGAGATGACTGCGTTTATATTGCTTCTCTGGCATAACGGCGAACCACCTGAAGATATTTCGTTGGAAAGGAAACGAGGAAGCGAAGGTCGTGGGAGGTTGATTTAAACTACCGACAGGGATCCAGTTACGTATTCAGATCCCGTGGATTTGTTTTCCGTTGCCTGTCAGAACACAGAAAGCCATGCCGTTCTGCGGGAGATATACAAGGCATTTTAAATTGTGTATAACGATTTGATTCTGTTACTAAAATAACTTATGCAATTTTATTTAGGATAAAATTTACCCGATACTTTTGATACTCATAAATTTAATTAATACACAAACATTATTCCTTTCTTTGTGTAATTCCGGGGAAAGCCGTTTAATTTTTAATTTTACTTTTTAATTTCTCGATATAGTAATCAAACGCTAGAGTGAAATTTCGATAAGATATATAAATATTATTATTTCGATAAGATATATAAATATTATTTTATTATAACTTGTTCTAGGTTAGCCTAGTTAGCGAATAAAATGAGTGCTCGCAAATGAATGAATATACAATGCTCCAAATTCGTCAATCGCATTTGCGAAAAGAATGAAATGTTCCTAAAAGCCGGAATGGTAAAGTTGAATAATCGTAAAGTTTTTCCTTTAATCTAGCCAATGCGGTCTCTCTTGCGTCTCGTTCCTTTAAAACTTCGTATTCTTTTCAACAGCGGAAAGAGTGAGTGGTTTCGACTATTTAATAAAATCTTTTATGGACTCGCGGCGTTGCTGCGCTACGGATCAAAAACTTGGAATTTCTTCGTGTTGACAATTTTTCGAGAATTGCTTTCTCGTAGTTTTCCATCAGGAACAAACTACCACCTTAACAGAGATTGAACTGTATACTGAATCTTCTAACAAGAGCCTTTCTATCTAAGTAGCTCTCGACTTTTCAAAAGTTTCGCATATAATGAAGATGAAATTTTGAAAGATTTATTTCTGGGCTGCATAATATTAAAAATTCGACGATTCATAAAGCTATGCAAATTATGATTCTTAAGCAAGTGGTTAATAAAATTGTAATTTTTAATCATTATTCATTTTTAAATAATAGAAATTTCCACGAATATTTAATATTGAGTGCAATTACTCAGAAGTTTGTGATATAAAAAATGATGAAATTTAAAAATTATCTTTATCGGAAAATTTTATCACAAATGAAAATTTTGCATTTGACGATTTGAGATTGAAAAGAGAGGTTATTTGATTGCTCATATCTCCAGCAGTGAATTTTCTGTTCAGAAATCACTCACGAACAGTCGTATACCGTCAACCTCATGATTCTTTATCGTTATGCGGGCTTTCTGTTTGCCAATTGTAGCACGCGTTCCAAGTTTGTCACCGAGAGAGAAGCGGGTATTATTATAATGATTATGACTTATCATAACGGAACTCTGAAATTGACGTCAATGAAAATTAATTTAATTTAATTATTAATTTTGTCAGAAGAAACTCAATAATTATTCTCGCAAGATGTTGAAAATCATTTTATCTAGATATATGGTACAGTAAGGTTTTTTATATTGAATTAAATATTCATTTTATATTTGAAGACAAAAGCAATTATCCGGTTCCGCCGCACATTAAGCGCTCGCGATTAAACAGCGTTCGATTATTAATCGTGATTGGTGATTTGTATTCGCGAAAAGCGTAGGAGCACCGGATGAACGAAAATATGAGGCACGATATTAATTTTGAGCAATTACATTCATTGGTCACTTTTCGTGACCAATGAAAATCTCGATTTCATCTGGTTTCCAAATAAGTGCGTATTACTTGCGCATTACGCATGAGCGGATTATTCAGTCGATCGTGAATAAAATCTCCATCTTTCACAGCCATCGTCACTCACTACGTGTACTGATATATCCTTTTTAGCAACAGCACAATTTGTGAATGGTTGTGTTTGTGTGTTATGCTCCGTACAATCTCTATAGTGTTAACGTTACTTTTTCAATCATCAATTTCCTTTTATCAATATTATATGGGATATTAATTAAATTTGCATTTTATCTCATTATTCTTTTCTCAACATATTTTTTCATCGCTTTATTACACTTTATTATCGAATTTTCTATTTGCGGAAATCGTGCGTGGCGCAAAATGTCATGAATTCTCTATAACTTTCTTTGAAAATTCGCGATATCGCGTTCCGAGCCTCATCGATCCTCTCGTTTAAAGAGAAAGAGAGAAATAGAGAGAGAAAGAGAAAGGAGGAGAACATATCTATCTATCTCTCTCAGTCAAAGCGTACTCGAGTGACGCGCGAATCGTCTGGAAGATCTCTGGCATAGTGTTGTTCCTGTCGCCGGTTGATGCTGCTGTTGGGCGAATGGTATAACGCCGGTACGTCACGTCGCCGGAAACTGGGTTCTATCGATTTCGTATCAGTTCCTGGCATCTCTTGTGGGTTATACACAACTGCGCGCACGTTTGTACATACGCACTCACGCACGCACGCACGCACGCACGCACGCACGCACGCACGCACGCGTGCTACGTCAGAAACATGCAGTTATCGTACGTGTTCATATGAGTATGTATTCACGATAGTTGTATTCTCTTCTCTCTTATACACTTTCGCTCGTTTCCTCTCTCACTCTCCTTTTCTTTCTTTATTCCCTCCCCTTCCCCCCTTCCCCCTCCCTCTCTCTCTGTCTATCTGTCTGTTAGGGAGGAGGTGATAAAACAAAGTGGAGAGGGAGTAATAGCGAGAGGGTAATGGGTGAGTCTCTACCTTCAACTTCGAGCGACCTAAAGCCTCCCTAACGTCGTGTCGTCTACAATTCAGCTGTTCAGAGTTAGGTGCTTGACTATTGTCCTCGATAGTCTTATGTAGGTCGTCTCAGATCAATGTATACCTCTTCCTGTGAGCTATTAAACTAGTAAGAATATCACGAATATCGGAAATGACGATAACGGGAATCCGGGCAATGGGCAATAATTTCTAAATATAAATCAATCATTTTGTTTTTGTGATTCGTGAATAGATAAGAATGATAAAAAAATTATTATCGTATCAAATTAAATGGTAGTTTAATATTACATGTTTTTTCTGACAAGATTTTAATTTAAATTCTTAATTAAGAGTTAAAAATTAATAAAAATGAGAGATAAAATGAGAGAGTGATAGTCGATCAATTTAGAAGATCTCACACTGTTATTACGAAGATATTAGGAGTGCCTCTCACCAGTGTCTCTCGTGAGGGTGGAAATGGAAGAAAGGTGCGAAAGGGCCGTGAAAGGGTCGTGAAAGCCTTCTCATGTGTGTGCGGCGCGACCGAATGGAGGATTTGATCGAAGGCATTCGTAATCAGTAAGCAGGCATGGAGTCGTAAGATAGACTTACCTGAGCCGACGGAAAATGTCATTATCAGGCTCGGTGTCTCGTGAAACCGATTCGAATCGGCGCTCGTTACGCCGCTCCCGGATACTCGACCCTGTTGAAAGGATCTCGAGAGCGTCCTTTCAGACCAGCGATCCTTAATTAATCTGGAAATCGAATCAAGGAGAGGAAGGAGAGTCACAGAGTCGGCGTGCCGATAGATCGGATCGAAGGGTGAGGGAGGGATCCGTTTGGTGAATCCGAGACCGGTTTATGTGACCGCCCTTACCTCTTTCGATGGTTTCCTCAGAAAGATCGTTCTCTCGCTAATTTCTCCATTTATTGTTTAAGCCCGTTCCTCGGCTCCTCTTTGACGTCTTAAACTGCTCTTATCTCGCCGGCCTTTGTTACTTACACAAATTATGTATATCGGATCGCGAGGACTCTTCTCTTCGTTGTATAAACGCCGACGAGGGAAGCCATCGAATTACAGAGAGATCCTCGAATAGCCATATTGCTCCCACCGTAAACGTTGACTCATTCTTCAGTGTAATCACGATTGCGATCCACTGATTGTTTATATATGTGTGATGTAATCAATATTCAATATTGTTACGCTAAGAGAGGAGATGTCCGGTTCGCGAGAAATGTACCAGCGATGTTGATTAAATCATCAGTTTTATTAATCTGCAATCACTCCGACGATAATGACGATACTTTGAATCATGTAAAATTGCAGTTGAACAAAAGCGCCCTATCTCTTATCTCTCACACAGTAGAACTCTCGCATGCTCTCGGTCGAGAAAGATCAGATGTGGAGAATACAATCGAATTAACCACATACTTATACTACGTACGCCGACGTCGGGCCGTACTTAGGATTACGACCCGTAATACACTTACGTTTCTTAAATTCTATTTCTGGTCTGACGAATTTGATAAACATATCTCCCCTCCGGGCGCGACATATCCCAGCCGCCATTTGCTCTCCTCGAAAAAGATCGCTCGAGATCGCGCGCGAACCCTCGATACGTCTCGCGTTACTTTCATCGTGTTCTCCACACTTGCCTCCGCAAATTTCCCCGTCCGGTTAATTATACACGATACAATTTATCATGCTAATTCACAAAATTATACACTATGTACAATCGCCGTGCGCGCCCGCGTCTCGACCTACTTTACGGTAGTGTGTTGTATTGCTATCGTCGCATCTCCGTCTTATCTCCGCTATATATACGATTTATATACGGGGGGTACTCTAAACACTGTGTGTACACATGCGAGCGAACGTGTACGGATCGTGCGGAAGTTTGGGACCCGCTCGAAATCGGTGGCGCCGCGCTTGATTAACACGTAGAGAAGAACCGATGACGGTACGCCGCGACGCGTTTTCCTGCCGTCGCGCGAATTATCGAATAGAGACGTATATACGCTAATTAACACGCATTTCAAGGATATTGGCGCCGCCGGCATTTTCAATGTCGTCGAACGAACTAGAACGGCGAACGGCCGACATTAAACGCGCGAAAGTCTGAGACTGTCGTAACGAATCACGTGCATCACGATTGTCGCCCAGCAAGTCAGGCCCGGGTAGAGCTCGACGTTTGACCTTGAGCCCGATTTAGGGGGCTCTTGGGCGAGGCGTTGGTTGCTGGCGGCGAGTGTGGCGATCTCGATGCTCTTGAGAACCTGGTCATTAGCGAGTCCTGGTAGCGTGGATTGACAGATCAGAGTCAGGCTGCCACTGGGAAAGTGATGCCGTTCCAGACGCAGCGTTAGGCCCAACCGCGTCTTGGAGCCCATCCTCCCGTCTATGTTGCCACCTCCCCATAAGTCTTTCGTCAAGGCTCTGTTTACCTATTGACAATGAGCCAGAGGTTGAGAAGTTTCAAGTTGCAATTTGTCCATATTTCAAATAACTTTAACGAAAAAAATATTAAAACTTATTCGTCTAATAAACTTTATTGTATTATTGCTCGATAATTGGTAAAAATAATTTTAATTCGGGTGCGTCAAATTTTTGTATGTCAGTAAAATTATATATGCGGTACAATAAAATTATTTGTGGAGAGTTTTCAGTTGAATACTTAGTTAAATTAATTAATTAAAATATTTTTTCATAACGTACGATTAAAAGGATAATAATTGTATTTTGCTAACAATTACAAGTAGACGCTTATAATTTTTAATTTAATATATAAATATAAGTACAATAATTACATTAAATTTTATTAATAATTTGGCACCCGTTTTGATATCAAACTTTTTATATAATTTAATTTTAATATTATTTCTTACATCAAAATTTTTTATATTTTTGTAAATACAAGTACAATAATTATATTAGATTTTCTTTTACAATTATAAATTGATGTTAGTTTTTTATAATAAAATCTTTTTATTTCTATAAATTTTCGTATTTTAATTGAAATTAAAAGTTGGCATCAGTTTGTAATATCAAATCTTTTGTAGAAATAATAAAATGGTTTATTTATTGATATAGAGATATTTAAATAAAATAAACTTTCGCAGAAAATAACTAAAAGAAATGTGTAAACTTGACGTAACTTTTTTACATTTTTTTATTTAAATAAACGACAGGATATATAAATATAATTATGCATCTAATTCGAAAAATTAGAAAAGATTACAAAAAAAATTTAATTTCGGTTCTCGATCGTAAATCTAATTGTCTCGACTCTTTTGAAAGAAATGACAGATCTATAACGTCGTTCATATTAATTTTATCTGAGTTACGACTTTTATTATGGCATATTTTTGCCAACATCGCAACCCCATTGCGTTTCCACGAGTTTATTCTCGAGGAGTTAATTTGTGACTCGCAGCTCTATATTTATTGAGACTTGAACGTGCGGTCGGTCAGCGAGCGAAATAAAAATGCTCACGCGAACTGGCCTCGTTTGACAAATTGTCGTTGAATAAACCGAGTAATACCTCCTCGCGAATGACGTGCGCAGCGTAGCATTGAATAATGGGAGTTATGTGGTTCCTAGTTCACCATGCTCGCGTAACATCCCGCGGAAGTGAGTTTTGGATTACGTTGCGCGATTAATTACGAAATTTTCGCTTGTTTCGTGTCTACCAACACTACAGAGATATCCTAAAGTGGATAGATAATATTTCGGAAATAAGTTCCCTTGAATTTTGATAAAAATATTGGAATATCAATAAAATCACATTCGAAGTCTAATATTGAAAATTTGCGCTCGACTGACAGTCGTTTTAGATAAATAAAAAGCTGATCTCTATCCTATCTCTATAAATTATTTGCAAAATGAGCGGAATATTGAAAACGAAATATCTCAGTATATGATAAGGCAAAATCTGAGAAGTTTGTCTGTTTCGTATTTTCGAACTCATGCGACTTATCGAAAGTTTAACCGACAGAACCCTCGTCCTCGCTCATGGATATCATCGACTCACCTCTTTACCATTCAGGATGAACGTTAAAATTGCCGGGGGGTAACTCGACCCCGACGTGCACTCTGCTTCGAGGATCTCGCCGACTTCGTAAGAAGGTCGTACTCCGTCGAGTACCGGGACAGTTTTAGGTGGTATAGCAACGGTCATGTTCGCTTCTCTGTAATCTGTCTCAAAACTCGGCGCTTCGGATGACACCTCGCAGCCGTAAGACCCCGCCAAGTCGACTTTACCTGCGATATCAAGTTAGAGAGAGAGAAAAAAAAAGACTAAATATATAAACTTAAAAACAGGCACAAAACTTTTTTCGTTTGATGAATATATCTTAATAAGTGACGATAATAAGGGAGAATTCTCTGCACATTAAATTATTGTCTTTAAACCTTTGACATTGATTTTAAACATTCCCTGAAAATCTATACATCTCAAAAATCTACGATCTTTCGCAGAAACGAGATTAAAGTTATATACGAGAGATTTATCTTGTAGGCGAGAGATGCAGAGTCAATAACCACCACTCTTGTAATTCTGGCTTGTAAAATCGATGTCACACACCTTTGCGGGTGTTCGGACCTAGAAGTGTCACTTGCTTGTGGTCACTCTGGCTGAGATCGATGTACAACCCGCTGATATTTTGAGGTCGCTTGGGTATCGATGATCCCGGCATGAATCTGAAGATCTCCTGACCGTCTTTATTCCATGTCACCGAATAGAGATCCTTGCCACCGAGATCGTATTCGCACTTGAGTAAAACTCTTTCCCACGTCGGATCGGCAATACTAGGTACTTCCAGGTTTAGTATTTCCAGTCCAGCACCTATGCGACAAAAAATAAAATAAAAGCAAATTTCTTTATTCCATACGTTTAAACTTGTATCATTATCATAAAAAGCAAAAATAATATTATAATATAGTAAATATTAAATATCGTATATATGAGAATTTAATTATTATAATATAAATATTACATACTTTTATAATATAAATTTTACACATTATATTAATTTAATTAAACTACAAAGCTTTCCGTTACAAATATTTTTTCTACATAAATAAAAGCAAATTTTGATAATGGGATTTAATAATTAATATTAAATGGCATAGTAACAAAATTTTCTCTCTTGATTCGGTTTATTTTTTTTTTGACACAAAAATAAATAGTAGAATATTTATTTTTGTACGTATAGGGTATAGCGTAACATAATTCAAATAATTTAATTGATTTATAATTATAAAAAATTCTCGTTGAAATTTCGATTCTCAAAAGATTTCGAAAAACATATTAGTTATTAGTGTGAAAAATTTCTATTAACGAAATTTTCGTAATGAAATCTCAGCGGGAAATGGCTGTAATTGACATGCGCGCATTAATTTATTTAGCGTGCATCCATAGGGCGATTGGGACAAATACAGTGGTAATTAAAAATATTCGATCAACCGAACGCAATTGGGTACTCCAAAGTGGGTTGAAATTTAAAGTGATCGCGAGAGCCAATTATTATCGAGCAAACCTCTTCAGAATGCAAACAAAAAATTCATTCGCACGTACCAAATTTTCAGTCGATAATGGATGTACAAGTTTACGGGAAAAAGGTTTACGGGAAAGGTTACGGGAAAATTTTGTGCATTAAATAATGCACAATGATTACATGCATAATTGTTCTACAAAATTTTAACAAAAATAGCTATAAATATTATTCTTCTCGGGAGAAAGTAACATCAAAAATATTTGATTTTTTAAATAAAAAATAATTATTTAAAAAAAGCAACTCCTCTCTCTCTCTCTCTCT